ACTCTTGCTTCTCTTGCCATCATTTCGGTGGAATTAAAAACATTCCTTCCCAAGTAAGGGGGGGGAGGGAGACTTAAAAAATGCTTTGAATGCTTAAAGAATAAATGAAGAAAATGGCAGAGTTCTTATCCCTTTCAATATTTAAATTTAACAGTTCAACAGATGCATTACCTCTCAGCTCATCAAGTGGTTTAGCAATTTCCGTGAGTTTTACTACATTCAGATGGAGAAGTACGCGCGTCAGGCCATCAACGACGGAGTCACCAGTACTGAAGAGCTGTCTATAACCAGAGACTGTGAGCTGTACAGGGCTCTGAACATGCACTACAATAAAGCAAATGACTTTGAGGTAGGAACTCATCTTTATCTTTTGGTCATCTCCCCTTTCTTTTTTTAAAGTTTGTTTGCTTTAGAAATGTTCATCTGTTTTTGTATTGGTATTTCACGAAATACCCCCCAGTGGGTAAGAGGTAGGACAACAGCGAGGAGCCCCCCGCCACCCCCCATGGTTCCCATCAGAGTCCTGGGCACCTGACCCACTTCTGTTTTCTTTCCCACTGCCCAGCTCTGCTGCTTCCCCTTTGGCCTCAGGGACAAGGAACTGGAGAATCCAGAGAAAATGGCAGCAAGGAGCACATACAGCGTGTCCCCCTTCCAGAGAAGAGGTCCCTGCCCCAATAGGCCTTTTTCACGTTTAAGTTCCAGCCTGTTGATAGAGCTGAAAATATGCAATGAGCAATGGTAACTGAGAAAGTTGTTGCCTGAGAAAGTCTAGAAATGTTGATGGGGGAGTGACTCCATGGTTTCTAACTTTAATCAGCATTTATTTCCTTTATGGAAGAAATGGTATGAGAATTTACTAAGTGCGTATTCTAAGAGATCCATCAACAGTTTTTTTGTTTGTTGTTTCTATGTTTGTTGTTTGGGGGGGAGGAACTTGTGTGTTTATTTTGCCTATGTATCTCTCTGTGTTCATACACTTATACATGCTTATGTATCTGCCACATACATATTCTAGATACACAGCAGTATGGACAATTCCCAGAAAGCAAAATCTATGCAGCAATAAGATACGTGGCTCTGAGCAAGACATTTCTTTACTGGCTAATGTGGTATCTCAGCGAACATTTTTCATTGCAGCATGATGACTCTCTATGAGAAAACACGAACGAATCTTCCAGCACTCTCAGTGGCATTTTGCTGAGCCTTGCTGGCTGCGGCAACAGTAGCTGGAGGTGGGAATGTGGGGGAAGTTCTGCAGACCGAGCCCCCGATGATGAGAGTAGATAGGCCGTGGCTTGACAAAGTTGCTCCTTTACTTTTATTAGTTCAAGGATAGGAATGTTTTCTCCCTCACTTGCTCATGCGGGGACCTTATGTTAATAGTGTTTCTTTCCTCACATAGCTAGGTACTAACCAGAAATGCCCAGGAACTTCTCAACTTCAAAGGAGAGAGGGACACCTTGGTCTGGTCTTGCCGATAGACGGACCTGACCTCCACTTTCCCACTGCTCACCATTCCTTTTTGGGCCTTTCTTCCACTGTTCTGAACAGTGTAGATCAACTATGGTGGCTTAGAAAGAAGTGACTGTGGAAGCTTAGCAGTGAGGAAGTCATGGTTTTTGCCTGGAAAGTTTGTATGGTTAACTACAAGCCACCCATTTATCTTTTCTATTCCACTACCAGTGGAGGTTGCTTGCCAAGTGTGTTATAAACAACATTGCTCCTTGGACGGAACACATTAAAAGTAGGGATCCTTGTACTGCTCCCCAACTTTCAAGTCTGTTGTCACAGAGCACCGGTTTATGTATTAACAGAGCACTAACAGATTTCTCCTGAAGCTAAACATTCTTAAAAGTCTTAGGAACTTCATTTCTCCCCACCACCACCCCTTTCTGACGAGCCTGTTGCTTTAAACTTGAAGCTAAGAGAATTTGGCGTTGTGCTAGTGGACTCTTTATAGTTTATTAGGACAAACACTTGTTTAGTAGCATGCATCTAGCTTTGTAAAAGAATCGCCCAGAATTCCTGGGAGAGTTCTGCATTTTTGTTGTGTAACACACTTTAGAGGACAAATCCTGATGGCGCGCATTAGGATTTTTAGTGTTGTTTAAACCTTACCTGGTTGGAGTTTAATCCCCCCGCTCACAGCACAAAGGCCGAAATGACACAAACAGGGAACGGCTGGCATCAAGAGATACCCAACAAGCTGCTCCATTTAGCATCATCTAAATCCTTCTTTAATATGATTAACATCTGATATTTCTCTCTTTCTGAATCATATCCACTTCCAGCCAGGCCACCTCTTCTTTATCTGCAGTGTCTATTTTAAGACCGCTTCAGTGTAAGGAGTATGGGGCCCAGGGAGTCATTTTGTCACTTCTCATGTGACTTCGGACAAGTTATTGGTCTATTTTGGGTCTTACTCTTCCTTCGGTAAAACTAGGCTCTTTCTGGAAAGGTGGTGACAAAGAGACAGGAGCCTGGATTCCGCCCTGCCCCCTCCACTCACAAGCTCCCACGTACACATGCGTAG